GTGCTTTCTTTATTGTTATTTATTTTAAATGCAAATAGATTTTTACCTGTTGGCAGTGGCACTACAATAAAACACAACACACAAATAACACAAAATAAGTGACCACGCTCACACAAAACTCCACAAACAATGAAGGACACACTACACGCAGTGCGTACAATACAAATACAATTACAACTAAAATTATAGGAATTAATACGTATGTATAAGAAATAAAGACACTATACACTAAACAGTAAAAATAATTAAATGCGTGATTTCACGAAATGTTGCACTCACATTTCACCATGATCTTCACTTCACTTCCACTTCACTGCACTTACTCAAACTTCACACCCTCTCCACAATTTACTTCACTTCACTTCACTTCACTTCACTTCACTGCATTTTTGGATCATTTCCCGCACACCTTTACTTCACCTCATTTATCACTTTCCTAAACCTTTTCCTAAAATTACTTGATTTAGAGGAGAGAGTCCCTAAAGCATCTGCAGCTAGTTGGTTCCAGAGCTGGACGGTCCTATTTACAATGAAATATTTTCCGACATTTCTTTTTGTGGTGTCCTGTGTGTAGATAGCGGACTTACGACGGCCTGATCCCCCATCGAAGGAGTCCCACCGACTCTGTACAGACTGAGAAACTGAAAAAGCGGCCAAGGTCCAAAGGGCTGTACAACCATAGAGAGAGAGAGAATTGTAGATCTATTCAACATGAACGTAGGCTTCGCATATATGTCTTAATTACACATAGTTACAATTTTATTGCCTCATAGGCCCCTATATAAAAATATCATCTATTTTTCCATTAGAAAAACAAAAAAAGTTCTTTTATAAAACTGGACATGTCATTCAGTAAACGTAAATAAAAGTTATACTCTTTAATACAATTTTAATTTCATACCTTAAATATAATATATTTTCACAGATATCACTACAATTAGCAATTGTAACTGCTCAATCATTTTCCTCGTATTTATTCTTAAGGATCTCGTAAATAAGGCGACCTTTCTTTCTCAAGAAACAGTATTTAAAAAAGTTATCGTATATTCGGGTTTTCTTTTGTATTGCTAGTGGGGTGGGACTAAGTCCCTTATACTGCGGCCACTTCTGGCCTATTGTACCAGCCCCAGATGATAGGTGAGGGTGATTGTGGAGCAGTTGGTGGAATTAAAATTGGCAGGGGAAACCGAAATACTCGGAGAAAACCTGCCCCAGCGCCACATTGTCCACCACAAATACCACTTGACCAGACCCGGTATCGAACCAGGGCCGCCGGTATATTCGGGTTAATACTGTTTATACATCCCCCGCTTGGTTTTAATCAAGTTGTCTTCAAGTAGTGTTATTTTCAATTAGAACGACACGTGGAATCATACAACGTTGAATGAGAGACAGTCCCCATGGTCGATTGTCGATGGAAAAGAGACAGTGTATTGGAAGAAAGTAGAAATTATTTTTATTGATAACGGTTTAAACCACCCGAGAACATTCTGTCGAAGAGGACTAACAATGAGGACTTAAAAGTACCTTTTCAAGATGAAACGCCGAGGCTCAGGGAGCATCATGGATAGCGCGTGCGAATTTGGCCAACACACTCATCTTGCCTCTAACGCATGGGCGGTGTGCTATGCATTGCGAGAAGCGAGCAATCTTTCACCTAAAAAACTTTCCATCAGAAGACGGCGGAGCGGAGGCTAAAGTGCACAGAGTTAAGGCAGTACTTCACTGAAGAGTACAAAAATACAGTCAGGCCCAAAACATAATGTGTCGAACGAGCAGGTTCAATGTACTGTGTGCTCGGGGAAAGCGGGGTTAATGGCATTCGGGGAAGTCCGTCAATATTGGCTGTTTTCATTGCTTTCTTTTCTCTTTCTCAAAATGAATGCTGGAGGAAAAAAAAAATAAAAAGGAAAATATTTGCCCCCAGAACATTTATTCTTGAGACTACTATAGCTTTTTTGTGAACGTATTCGTCACAATCCATTTGTAATAATAATAGTTATTATCATGTTTCTGTTATTACTATGGCGGCATGCGATAACGTAGTTGGTTGAGGCAGTATGCTACAAGTCGGAAGGTCGCAGTTTCGATTCCCGATGAGGTAATTGATTTTTTTTTAATTAACATAATCCTTTCAGCCGCACTATATCGACTGAGCCTCTAACAGAAATGAGTACCAGGAATCTTCCTTGGGGTAAAGGGTGGCCAGGTTAATAATATTTAACTCTATATATCCACTCCCCCTTACACCGTCAGGGAAAACTTTACCTTGCCTTTACCTTAAAGGGCGGCCGGTGCGTAAGGTTGACAAACTTACGGTCAACTGTCAGCCGACTGTCTAGAAAATGTGCGAGCCTCGATGGCTCACAATTCTATGAGCCTCCACGGCCGGTTACAGGGATACCTCTACCCGTTTACCTTCTTTTTTTAAATTCGCTTAGTGAGAGGTGGAGTCCAGCTGGGTGAGTCGGCACGCCGGCCACTGATTGGCCTATTGTACCTGCCCCGGTTGATTATGATGATGGAGAATTTGGTGGAATGAAGATTGGCATGGGAAACTGAAGTACTCTGAGAAACCCCGCCCCAGCGCCACTTTGTCCACCACAAATCCCACTTGACCAGACCCCGGGATTGAACCCAGGCCACTGCGGTGGGAAGCCAGCGACTAACCGCTTGAGCTATGGTGCGGCCTGACCTGTTTACCTTGTTATAATTGTCATCATCAGGAGAGGCGCCTTCTCATATCGGGAGTACGTAACTGCGGTGATGAACCTTCGAATTCCATAATATAAAGCAAAATTACTTGCACAAGTGATCAACTGCTGGAGCCGGGATAGCTCAGTGGATATAGCGATGGACTACGGGATGGACAGCCGAGGAATCGGTGTTCTATTCTCCGAAAATGCAAAAGATGTTCTTCTCACAGCATTCAGTCCTGCCTTGGACTCCACCGAACTTCGTATCCAGTGGGTGCTGGTGGTCCTCTCCCGTAAGGACATCTGTTGTGGCGTGAAGCTGCTCACTCACTCTTATTGCCGGTGTTAAGAATGTGTGGATCTTTATCTCAAATCCCCTACCCCATAAGTCCTCATGGCACGGCGCTTAATTAATTAAGCCCAGAAATAAATTTACCTTTATTAATCAACTTTCGTCTTTAATGGGTTTCGACAATTGTTTGTAACACTCGGCTTTGCTGGGGTTTGGACTATATATATAATTTAGTGCCAATTTTAACGGATAGAGGGTGGCGCGCGGTCAGCGCAACGAATCCCCACCGCCGTTAATTTCGGATTTCTGAACCGGAGCCGCTACTTTTCGGTTCAAGTAGCTCCTCAGTTATCCTCACGAGGCTGAGTGAACGCCGTTCCAGAACCACTACTTCTCAGAAAATCTGGTAGAGCCGGGAATTGAAGCAGGACCTCNNNTGTGTGTATATAGTCCGGCATTCTGAAGAACCAAACACTTCATAAACTGGATATATTTCGGTCCTCAGGCGAGAGGGTTCAGTGACTGAGGTTAGCTCTTTCTAATAGATTCCACACAGAGTACGTGTTTCCCTTCCCCTCGGCTTGTGACGGAAACAGAGCCAGTTTGCGAAGCGTGTTCTTTAGTATAACGTATGGTGGCAAAGCCTAGAACCCCAGTAATTCCAAATTCGTCTCTTTAAAAAGTTCCCCTATCACATACATATTATTTAATTATGGTCAATTAAAACGTCAGAAGTTGGCGATTTTTAAATTTTTAGTAACAGAAATATTCTTAGGAAAGCTAACACATAACAGAAACTGCTCTGATGAGTTGATGACAATATCCGTTGGAGGCTGACAGTTCCGAATGTGGAGAAGGCTGATGACAATTGTAGTTTTAGCGTTCCCCTTCCCTTCGCCTGAATGTGGGGAAGCACAGTGCGGTACTCTGACGTAACAGTGACCTCCAAGTGACGCAGATAGCAACGTCTTGCTATGCACAAAGATGGCAGCAGTGTTGACAAAACTTTTGATTTGGGTTTTTATCGTGATGACGTCCGTGTGGAGGAAATCGAATATTTCTCCTTCTTCCAAACTTTTTTTCTCTATCTCCCGTTCTCTTCCCTTACTTTAGTACCTTACTTTAGATTTCACTTACCTGTGGTGCCGTTTAAATGCAGTATTTTTACGAACTTCCGGTCTGCCTTATCTTTTTCCTGAAAGAAATTAATTTCAAGGATCTACTTCCTGTATTAAATTGTGTTCATTTAATTCGGAGCCGGTTTTACTAACACAGAAACTGTCGAGTAAGATAAAATCCCCCTTTTTTTTTTCCTTGGCACTACAGCCCCAGTGGGCCTAGGCCTACCTCCATGAACTTCTCCGTTCACTTCGGTTTTTCTAGATCTTACACATTCGGTAGGACTCCTTGGGCGGGTGATCAGCTCGTCGCAAGGCCTCTACCTGTACACAAACACAGAAAAACGCACACACATAAACTAAACATCCATGCCCTGAGTGGGATTCGAACCCAAGATCCCGGTTTCCAAGCGAGCGAAGACAGTACATACAAAAATTCGCTTTACTGCTACTAATACGCATGGATTTAAAAGTTATTAGTATCTGTAGTAAAGTAAATTGCTGAAGGCGTGGAATATATGGTGGCGAATAGACACGTTGCTAGGCAAAGGCATAAAAAAAACAACGCTACAACACCAGTTATTATACAACGACGCAATAAACACTTCTCTACAACAATAGAGGTACTGATAGATGCAGTGTTTTCTACTCGGTTCTTATGTAACTGAATTTTGTGAGACTGGGTTAACTATGATTCCCACCCCTTCAGCTGTCCATTCCAAACATACCCACCGCTTGAATCGGTCTGGAACCCGCTGTCTCGCTCAGTATTCCAGCGGACCAAGACGGGACGCGACATTGAAATTCAAGTTCAGATAATGTCTTTGCTTCGTATTCTAGATGTACTCCGTTCGATTCCCCAGTGGGACTATCGGCTGTCTAGACCCAGTGTTGTCATGCTGACAGCGGCTCCTTGTTCTCGTGTCTTCCGGGACAGACAATCAATCCTCTGTGACAGTCTTGCTGCTGGTCTGATTCGTAAACAAGCCGTTCAAATGTCGCTGGTGTTGCAGTGTTTGGTGTGCTGTACCTGGAACAGGAGGAATATACATTATAAATATATAAATTGTCCCAGGAGGAAAAGTCAATATTCTGGGAGGTCATAGTATCAGTCTTTCTAAGCAAAAAGTGCGTATGTAGTTGTGTCCTGTTCCGAACGGTTTCCGAAATTGAGTTATTTCACAGTAGTCGCTGGCTTCCCACCGCGGCGGCCCGGGTTCAAACCCGGGTTTGGTCAAGTGGGATTTGTGGTGGACAAAGTGGCGCTTGGGTAGGTTTTCTCCGAGTACTTCGGTTTCCCCTGCCAATCTTCATTCCACCAAATTCTCCATCATCATAATCACCCGGGGCAAGAACAATAGGCCAATCAGTGGCGCCGTGCCGAGTGGACCCAACTGGACTCCACCCCCACTAAGCGAATTAAAAAAATTAATTAATTATTTCACAGTACAATTCCAAAATTGTTGATAAAAAGAGATATTACGTAATGCCTCTAATACCGGTATTTATTGTTCAAGTGACAAAGTTCATACAATTTACCTAATGCAATAAAATTTTGAAAATTCAACCGTCAGCATCAATGCATTTTGCAACTCGTGTGAAGACATGACGTGTTGCTCGTCTATGTGCGTCTCGTACATCCGAAATAGAGTACATTGAAATATTCCAATAAAATTCTTTGTATCTTTAAGAGGTGCTGAGTAATAAACGATATAAAAGTGGATATAGGAATTTATTGCAGTATCTTTAAAAATTATAATTTTCTCGTAAATAATTATAATTAACGAGGTAAAACTGATCTATACGGCTCTTCTCATACCAGTGACGTGTAAACAATAACAGGCTTACCTGAATGGATGTCATTTGCCCTGCATTTTCTCTTCAGGTTGGAGCAGACCATGTACAATTACATATGCAATTATGTTATACGTGTATTATCAACTGTTTACAGCCTATTCATGATGATGGTGTTTATATATCGGGTTGTCGGACATCAGTTCGAATTATTGCAAATAAATTACATTGATACAAAGCACTTTCCATTAAATTCTTCATTAGATATGACATAGAAATTGGGCCAAATTTTAGGCTATTTACAAAATAACAGTAATAACTGCATTACATTATAATTCGAATAAATTTTTGTCATTAGAGCTGGGATACCGTAGTCGGTGTAGGGACTGGCTCCGGGCTGGACGACAGAGGGGTCGGAGTTCGAGTCCAGGTAGGATAAAAATGTTCTTTTCTCCACGTCGGCCAGACCGTCTCTGGGGCCCACCCAGTATCCTCTCAGATGGGTATCGGAATTCTTCTCCGGGGGGTTAAGCGGTAGAAGCTTGAAGCTGACCACTCACCTCCATCTAGTGCCGACGTCAAGAAAATATGGATCTATACATTCACTCCCCCATACGCCTTCATGACGTAGTGCTTAATTAGTTAAGCACAGGGACAAGTTTACATTTTATACACGTTCATTCTATGTGTATTTGTAAAATATAACTCATCCCACAAGCGTTACCACGTAAAAGAAACTTAAATATAATTTTATCTCCTCGTTTTGAGATGTAATTTACGACACCCTGTCAGTAACTGGACTATACAAGTCGAATAGTGGATGAATTGGAAAGGATTTCGAAGGAAGATGTCGTGGCGTAATCAGGGAAATGCCTCGGCATGTCTCTGGAGGGACTTAGGAAAACAAAAAAAAGGGGGGGGGCTCAGTAATTTTTTAAAAGAACACCTCTTCAATATGAATCTCTAGGGTTACCGCTATGCCAACCCGCTCCGTATTTCAGGCGCTTGTTTGTTTATTTGTTATTTAACTACTCTGTCAATACCAAGGTTACAGAGCATCGGCGATAGGACGATAATCATAATGGGGCAATTAAGAAATTATTTTGAATTGTAGTACACAACACACAGCACATAGGAAACATCCAACCATAAGCCATGTAACCTCAAGCTGACATCTCCCATCTTCGGGATGAATTAACAAGGAGGAACTTAGCATTTTACATCAAATGTTTTAAATATTTTAACATTAGCATTTTAACTTAAAAAACGGTTTCGGATGGAAAGTGAGAACTAATAGTGTACTCAACTATCCTAGCAAGTGTTGTCAACATATTGTAGCAGCGTCCACACAACAAACATAACTGTGAACTTCATAAACAACGACAGTGTTTTCATAATTGTAGTAAGTGCCTCTGATGATGGTTGTATCAAACCGAAACATGTAAGGCAGAAGTGATAAAGAAGTGACCTACAAATTGTTACACTCGACGGACTTTCTATTAACTTTGTGATGAAATTATTTTATAGAGTAAACTATCGTATTGTCAAGCGTATTAGCGACTTTGACCGCCTCTGTGGTCTAATGGTCATAGTTCCTGCCTACAGATCCAGATGTCCCGGATTCGATTCCCAGCGCTACCAGATTTTCTGACAAGTAGTGGGTCTGGAACGGGGTCTACTCAGCCTCGTGAGGATAATTGAGGAGCTATATCAAGGAAATAGAAGCTCAGGTCTAGGAAACCGAAATTAACGACCGTGGGGATGCGTTGCGCTGACCACGTGACACCCTCTATCCGCAAAAGTTAGCACTAACTTCGCCAACAAGCGACGGTCTCTCGCGGACTAAAATCCACGGGTTTGTTGTTCTTCTTTTTTGGTGACTTTAGACGCGGGTGAGTCTCGGTGAGTCGATTTATTTGATATTTACCAGGCGAAACTACAGTTAATTATAACACTTTTAATCTTGGGCTCGGCTCGGGTCGGCTAGGGTCGGCTCAGCTCGGTTAGTATATCAGCACCCGCGGGCTACAGAAACAAAATGTTGTGCATTATTCGCCAGACCGTTGTCCCGTTTCATTTTCAAGTTAAGTACGCCTAACTAAACTTTACTACTTGGAGTTTAATGCTTCTCAGAGGGAAGGTCCTGCAGGACCTTGTTAGTAATAGCCGGTTGTGAGAGAGTACAAGAAGAAATGTCTGTTCTGGGTAGGCGGAATTATCAGCCGGGCCATAAATGTAACTTTTAGAAACATCATTATGGCCTCGTGCTGATAAGGAACGGCCCCCCGAATTTAAACCTGGATGGGTTTCTTTACTATTAAACGTTATTCTTAGTAACTCAACTCGCCTTAAAAGGAATAAAAAAGAATTTCATTTGAAAATAATATATATAAATGTTTGTGTTTGTGTAAGAAGGGTAAAAACAACCCTGCTACAGGCCGTGGAGGGCCGTAGGATTGTGAGACGTCGATGTTCTCATATATTCTAGACAACTCAAAGATGGCGGTAGTCAGCATTAAAGCCCCGGCCGGCTTTTACCCCCAGGAAGATTCCTTGTACTCATTTCTGTTAGAGGCTGAGTGGACTTAATGGTCATATTCCGGCTGGAAGGATTAGGTAAATTGAAAAATCTAATTACCTCATTGGGAATCGAACCCGCGACCTTCCGAATTATAGCACAGTGCCTCAGTTGGGTCTAATCGATAGAGCTAGTCCCTATCTCCGGACACCTGTGCCAGCACCAAGATGGGATATAAAAGCCAAGCACAGCACAAAGCATCTGCAAGAGCTAAGACAGAAGAGGAAGCAGTACGGTATTTAGATAAAGACAGGACGAGGGATAATGTCCAAAAGCGTAATATTTGTATTAATTCGTTCAGTAGTTTACAAGATGAAACATTCAAACAGAGGGACACAAGTTCTGACATACACGACTTCTTATTATCCGTTTATTTGTTCACTCTTAAACACAGCACAAACGAAGGATCTGTCTGAGAACCTCTGTTGTACGTTATTCGTCGTCAGTAGTTCAGCTGTGTTACAGATAAATGGATACAGAATGCAAGGGACGTGACCCCACTAAGAATCAGGACGCCTGTAACAAGAACGAGTTATGTTCTAATCGCACTGCTGTTATTGAATGCTGTACCGCATCTACAGCCTGAGCTGTCCCTACACAAATAATTTAAAGATACGTCTCTCGAAACTTGCTATAGGGCAGCTTAATATTTCTATTCTTCACATATTAATGTTATGGAAGTAAAATATAGAAGGACCATATGGGAAGGACGTGTAGCACGCATTGGAGTATATGACGAATGTAGACACAATTTTGGTCTCAAGATGGCATTGGTAGAGTCCAGTTAGTAGATTTATCTAGGAATGATATTACTTTAAACATCAGAGATACGCCTCATGGTGGTGTAGACTGAATTTATATAAACCTATATAATTTCAATTGGCGGGCTTTTACAATTTTTGGGCGCGAAATGTGTAACAATTGGGTCCTGAAAGAAGACCCCCGTAGTCTAAATTAAATTTCCGCATGCGCCAACGAAATGACTGTAAGGTCTCTTTTGTTACGTTGAATACAGATTCATTCTTCCTTACGTCAGATAATGCCCCAGCAGTGTTATGTAATCTGCCCTGATCTGCTCTATGTTACATACTGCTAAGGGACATGTGGCGCTGTGTTGGCGGTTTGGAGAACTAAGAACAAGGCTTATAATCTGGACCCTGCAGAGCTTAGATACATTTCACATGAGTGAAAGTGGACCGCGTTGGAAATTAATTGAGTATCCCTACTGAGACGTAACATTAATTTAATTAACTCACCGTTATAGTTACATTTTAATCTCCTTATCTGCTAAGCTTCATACACACGTTATTTGATCTCTTCCCGAAATGCTGTTGCATACAGACCTTACACACAAATAAACTAACAATATACGCACACTCAAAGGGGTAATTAATTATACATATATATAGTGTCCCAGAAGGGACCGCCTCTGTGGTCTAGTGGTCANNNNGTTACAATATATATTGTCCCAGGAGGGACCGCCTCTGTGGTCTAGTGGTCAGAGTTCCTGCCTAGAAATCCAGAGGTCCCGGGTTCGATTCACGGCGCTACCACATTTTCTGAGAAGTAATGGGTCTGGAACGGGGTCCATTTAGCCTCGTGAGGATAACTGAGGAGCTACTTGAATGGAAAAGTAGCGGCTCCGGTCTAGAAAACCG